ATCACTATGAGTTGCAAATGAGTAACCAGAACATAACCAACAACAACAATGAAGCTGAAACTCAAAGTAGCTGGAGGTCAGTGAGAGGTATGTGGGTGTTGGGACATACTACCTTGGCTATTAAGTATAATGAATCTTTCAGAAAGGGCTGAGCTAGAATATGGCCCAGGGAATGAGGAGGAGGGGAATCCACTGTCTCTATTGCTCGGAATAACTCTTGGTAACCTGAGGAGTTAGGAGTCAGAGGTTGAGCTAGGGTCACGTGCTTGAGTCTGGCACAGGGGTGGAGGTGAACAGGGAGGTTGCCAGCCAGGTTTTCTGGGCAGCTCTAAGATAGGAGGAAGTGCTACAAGAGTTATTTTTAGTATTATTCAGAGAACAGAAAGGGGATTTTTCCAGCGGGGTAGGGGGGAGATATGGTACAGGTAATACTGATATTTCTGGGGCTCTGGGAGATTCAGAAGGAAAGGGCTTGGGGAAGGCCAGAAGTGTTGTCAAAGCCCTCTTATTGCAGTCTTCCTAGATTTAATTATTGAATTAACAGGTTGATTCTGTCTTAAGCCTGCTTTCCTTAACAAATGTTGATTGAGGCCAAACCAATTGTGTACAACACTGTACTAAAAGATTTGCAGATGGAAACTTAAAAGTGAAAGATATTTATAAAAGTTAATGGTTAAGCACTAACTAGGTTGCTAGCTAAAGGGTTAGCAATTTGAATTCACCTAGAGATGGTGAGAATGGCATAGGATAGGGCAAGATGAAGTCCACTCAATGGCACCTAAGAAATGAAATGAACAAGAATATGAAAGATGAGAACCTGATGATTAGCTCTTTTAAAAAAAAAGATTGCAGCATAGAAAACCCTGTGGGGCTGTTCTACTTTGTCACTTGTGGTTGCTATGAATTGAGATGGACTTGACAGCACCTAATAACAACAACGCTTTTTAGTGGTGCTTTTAATTAAGAAATAAATATATATTTACTAAAACAGAAAATACAGGATATATGCTAATTTTATAGTTCAGGGTAACAGGTTGAGGAGGCTTTCTGGAGGAAGTGTGCTTTGAATCAACACTTGGAGGACGTTATGGATGTAAAATTGTACAGGCTTGTTTTAAGCACAGGAAATGAAGTAGGAAAGATTTTTAAATGGCAGTAATTAGCTAATCTAATTAGTAGGGGCCTGCAAACCCATTGGTTTGGCAGGGCTTGGGGATTTTGCAGCAGTTAACTCAGTTAAGGCTGAGTGTTAATGAGGTCACAGTTTAGTCATGTATCCCAGTTAATTTCTGTTTTTCACCCAGCCACATCCCTACTCCTTGCTCTCTTACATGTGTAATCTCTTACTCAGAAGGGGGTGGGGCTGGACAGGAGAGAGGACTTGGAGAGAGTAAATCCGCTCCTCAAGGTCACATGCCCATCTGAGGGTATTTGAGATTATCATCTCTGAAGTGGAAGAAGATTTTGTATCCTGGTGGTGGTGGTGTGAAGGATAGAATATAATAATATAATCTAATAATAATAGCTCCTTTTAAGAGTGCTAAAGGGAAAAGAAGAGATATTAGGAGAGTAACAGAAATGAGATCATTCCCTAACTTGGGGCTTCATGCCTCAAGGTGGAATAAAAGAGAATACAAGAAAAGGTGACAAACCATATTCATTTGGTCAATAATTATTTATGGAATTAGTAGTACTAAATGCTGTGAAGGCAAAATAGTTCTAAATCACCTAGACCTGAATTCTGCCTTTACCATGTAACTATGTGAAGTTTCTGTGTACATAAAACAAGGATAAAATGCTTTCCTTACAAAACATTAAATGCAGGGAGCTCTGGTGGCCTAGTGGCAAGAAGCTGCACTGCAATCCCAGAGGTGCATGGTTAGAATCCACCAGATGCTTTGCTAGAGACAGAGGGACAATTTCCTCTTGTATTGGTCAGATCCGATTTGATGGTACACACACACAAAATAATAAAATTGAAAAACAAACAAACAAAACCAAAATGTTAAATGCAAGCCAGAGTTTAAAGGAGGGCTCTTGCTTTTGAAATGCAACCTGATGGGCTCATACTTTAAATCAAGTCATACCCAATAGAAGTCCCAAAGTCCCTAATTAACTCAAGGAGTTGTGGTATTTGTAGGACTTCATATTAATGTCTAGGCCCCAATTTTGAACAAGACACCAATTGGACCCACAAGAAAATATTTATTTAACATCTCTCCTTTCTATTTCTCCTCCATCCCTACCCCATACATCACCCAGGCAGAGCTTTCTCCTTTTTATTAAAAAATTTTTTTAACTCACTCATTGTTGCATATTTTCTTCCCTCTCCCTCCCCACACCCTCCTCTAGTCCACTTTGCAACGCGCCTCTTGCTCCAGATTGTTGTCAGGAAGAGCTTTCTTGAAAGTTGTTATTGTTATATGCCATCAAGTTGCCTGCGACTCATAGTGACCCTATGTACAAAAGCCCTAAACACCGTTCTATCCTTTGCCATCCTTGCGTCTCAAACACACTCATCCCTACCACTCCAATCACAGAATCGATCCATCTCATCAAGGGTCTTCCTCTTCTGTGCCGTCCCTCCACTCTCCCAAACATGATGTCCCTCTCCAAGGACTGGTACCTCCTTGTAACATGCCCAAAGTATGTCAGACTAAGCTTTAGAATCCTTGACTCCAGGAGGCATCTGGCTTCACCCTCTCCAGGACAAACCTGTTTGTTCTCCTAGCAGTCCATGGTATATTCAACACTCTTCTCCAGCACCACAGCTCAAAGGCATCAATTCTTTCTGTCATCCTTATTCACTGTCCAACTCTCTGATGCATAGCACGTAATTGCAAAGACTATAGCCTGGATCAGGCGCACCTTAGTCTCCAGCCTGACATCATTGCTCTTTAGGACTCTTGAGAGGTCCCTCACAGCTGACTTTCCCAATGCAAACATCTCCTGATTTCCTGGCTCCTGTTACCAAGAGTGTTGACTGTGGAACCAAGTCAACTAAAACTGTTAACTATCTCGATCTCTTCACCATCCATACTGAGGCTGTCAGTTGGCCCAGTGGTAAGAATCTTTGTTTTCTTGATGTTGAGCTTCAATCCATATTGAAGGCTGCAGTCCTTGACCTTCTGCAGCAAGCACTTCAGGTCCTCCTCAGTTTCAGTAGAATTTGATTAAATTTAGAAAAAAGGAGACTGCACTCTAACAGTCTTCAAACATAAACATCTTCAAACATAACAGAAGGCACTATACCACGTTTTTCCTCCACTTCACAGTGTGAGAATTTAACTTGCATTCATCAGATTCAGTCTTAAGAGCCTTGATGGTGAAAACAATTCATCTCCTAAAGAAAAGGTTGGTAGTTTGAATTCAGCCAGCAGCTCTGAGCAAGAAAGACCTAGTGAAAAAAGACTCCATGGCTTCCAACAACTGATCCAGTCATTCTCTAATTGTTGAGTCCTCTCTTTCTTTTTTCCTTGTCATTTCTATTTTTTTAAAATTTTTTAAATTGATATTCCAGTGAAAGGTTACAGAAAACTTGGATTTCCATTAATTCATTGTTGCTTGCACATTTCTCTCCCTACTCAGCCCCCAGTTTTTCTCTTTAAAAAGATTATTTCATTGTTGCACAATAGTCATCTCTATTTTAAACAAGAGCTTTTTTTTTTTACTTTATTATTTTGTTTGTGTGTGTGTACCATCAAGTCGGATCTGACTGGTACAGGAGATGGCTCCTCCTTCTCGGGCAGAGCATCTGGGGGATTCAAACCGCACATCTCTGGGATTGCAGTGCAGCTTCTTGCATCTACGCCACCAGAGCTCCCCTTTAAACAAGAGCTTTTTAAAAAGCGCCTCTCTTTGTATGCTGGAAGGGAGCTCTGGTGGCTTAGTGGGTAAGGAGTTGCACTGCCAGCCCAAAGATAAGTAAGTAGCCCTAGTCTACAGTTTGGATTTTTACTCCTTGAAAGAAAGAAAATTTCCTTCTTTACAATTTATTGTCTCTGAAAAGAAAACAACAACAGCCACCACCACTCCAATACAAACCCCTGGAAGGTCAGCTATGAGTCAGTTCTTACTGGATGGCAATAAATTAAGCTGAATTGAGTGTATTATGGATGGAAAGCAGTATAGTGATATTATATCACACAATTTCCTGCTCATGGGGTCTCATCTTTCACTTCATCAAGCAAAGATGTTTCTTTTCCCTTAAGAAAGAATTCCTTCTCAGAGGTGAGCGGTTCGAATCCACCAGATGCTCTGCTGGAGAAGGAGGAACAATCTCCTCCTGTACCAGTCAGATCTGATTTGACGGTACAGCCAAAAAATAATGAAATAAAAAAAAATTCTTAAGGTGGGGCAGCGGGCGTGGGAATTCAGTCTGGTTCCTCCTACCTTGATTTCTCCCATAAATACTAAAAGTGAAAATTAACAAACAAAGTCTTAACTCAGAATTTACAACCCAGAACTTCCTTTCTCAAAGCCGAACCACAGAATTAGGTGCTGTAGGACCTAAAAAAATGAATGAGACTTCTAAATTCAAACTAGGCAGAATATGATAAAAACTTTTAAGAGCCGTTCTAAGAACCAATGGCTACTGTTTACCACTTTGCTTCTTCATCAAGTTCCGTGACCAGACTCCAAGTTACTCCAGTGATCAGACTCCCTACGCCTGGTGACAACCGGGTACTTTCTCGCTAGAGGTTGGAAACTACATCTCCCAACAGGCCGCGTTGTCCCCTTGCTTCCTCCCTTCTCCCCCTCCTAGCCATGGCAACGCCGTGACGTGGGTAAACCGAGAGCTGCAGGAGCTGCAGTCGCTGCTTCAGTTTTAGCCTACTGGGCCGCCCGGGCGGATGCAGGGCTACGGGAGCTGAAGCCCCACGCCGCCTCTGAGCTCTGGGACGCTGAACCCGCCCGGTGGCCGCGTCCTGCTGCTCCTCCTCTGGGGCAAGGAGGACGTAGCGGCAGTCCGAGCTACACAGCTAGGCAGAGGCGCGGGCATGGCTTCAGCGGGTGCGCGGCGGCTCCCGGCTGGGACGCGCGCGGCAGCCCAGCGCTGCTGCGGCCTCCCGCTCCGGCCGGCCCCGCCCCCGGGCCCTCCACGACCGCCACGACCAATGAGGTGAGAGGGAGGTGCAGGCACCCGCTCCCGTGGGAAGGGGGTCGCCGGGACCCCGCTGGCTTGCAATTCTGAGGAGAGGGCGCCACATATAGCGACAGCAGTTATACCCTGGAGTCTCAAATAGTGGCTTGGAGAACGCTTTTCCAAATTATGTCCTGGGGGATATCTCCAGGGTGGGTGCCCACTCTACTACATGTCCCTCCTGGGCGCCAAGGTAAGGACAACTCAGCAGGGCCCAAGGACAGAGATGCTTCATAAGAATCCCAGCTTTCTGTAGCATAGCCCCCAATCAAAGGCTACTTGCCCTTCACTAGTGCTCTTCTCCATTCCCTCCCCCGTCTCTGTCCTCAGCCGCCCTCGACCTTTCGCACTCGTGACTGCCTGGCCATAAACTCGCGGGCTGCAGCAGGTGCTGGGGGGTGAAGCTTATTTGAACGACCTTCTGAGATGCGCAACTTTCCCCCTTCACCTGGAAATGGTTTAAGAGTGCAATAGTGATACTGCTTCTCCTTTTGCCCTTAGGTTTCTGATCTCTTGCAGCCTCTTTTTGCCCCGGCCTGCCCAGATCCTAGCTTCTGAGGCTGGCTTACCTACCAGCCGTTCCTTCATGGGCTTTGCTGCCTCCTTTACCAACAAGAGAAAGGCTTACTCGGAGCGTAGGATCATGGGGTGAGCATCTTCTCTGCCTTCCCCCCCTCTCCAGCAAATAACCATGTCCAGGCTAAAATATAATAGTGGAACTAAATCCATCCCTGACCACTCTCTTTCAGTGTTCCAATTGTAATTTCTCCTATCATCTTACTTGCTGTGCCTCTGGTATAAAGTGAAAAATTACTAGAGTTGGATTAAACCAAACCCACTGGAATCTAGTCTATCCCTGTAGGACAGAATGGAACTATTGCACAGGGCATCTCTAAGTTGTTAACCTTGATTTCAATTCCCATCAGTGGGAATGACAGGCCCAGGTTTTTAAAAAGCAGGCAAGTGTTAATCATTGTACCACCAGTGCTCCTTCAAGTTGGACTTCAGTGTAATGTAGTTATGTACAGTTGAGTCAGAACCGAACCTACTCTTAGCCGACCCTCCAGCCAGTTTTCAATCACCATGTAGGAGAATGCCCACCTTTAAAGCAGCTGCATGCCTTTGGGATGGAAGTGCAGCAACCAAAGCTCCCTACAATGTAATAATTCACACTAAGTACTTGCTATTGGATCTCAGCTAGGCATTATTATGCAAATTTTCTCAATCTCCCCAACAAACTAGTTATCAGATACTCTTACCACCTCTGGGAGCTCTCCTGGCCTAGCGGTAAGGAGTTGCATTGCCAACCCAACCCATGTGATTCCAGTCTACCAGCTGCTCCTTGAGACAAAGACAGGCATTCTCCTCTCATGTGATTTAGTCTCTGAAAACACACTGGAGGTTTGTTTAGCTGGGTCTGTTTTGACTCCATAGCACATAACATTTCCTCAGCAGAGTTCTGGCAGCTTAATCAGGGGAGTGTTGCCCAAAGGTCACACCTCTCTGGAGGTTCAAATGCACCAGTGACTCTATGGGAGAAAGATAAGCAATCTCCTTCAGTGTGATTTCCACCTCAGAAACTCCATAATGAAGGGTCAGCTACCAGTGTCAGAACCAACTTGATGACAATGAATTTATTACTACCTCCACTTTACAGATGAGAAAATAGAGGTACAGGTAACTTACTTTAGGGTACTGGTTAGAAAATTAGAGGTTCGAGCCAAGCCCTTGTATGATCACAATGTTATCTTTAGATTTAAGTTCAAAATAGTGAATGCAGAAACCTTCTGGAAACTACAAAATATTACTATAGTGAGAAGTCATTCATCCAGACTTGTTGATCTTCTGTTCTTGCAGGTGCATGGGTAAGGTATGGGGACAAGGAGCCAGATCCACTGGCAGTTCCTTGGCCCCTCTCTGTGATTCTTACTCTTTTAGGTACTCAATGCAAGAGATGTTTGAGGTGGTGTCCAATGTCCAGGAGTATCGCGAGTTTGTCCCCTGGTGTAAGAAGTCTTTGGTGGTATCCAGCCGCAAGGGACACCTGAAGGCTCAACTGGAGGTTGGCTTCCCACCTGTCATGGAACGTTATACTTCAGCAGTTTCTATGGTGAAACCACATATGGTCAAAGTAAGGCCTGAAGTCAAATTTTTGCTCTATACATCTTCACATTTTAGGGCTATTTTGACTTTATAGTTTTATCTGTGTGTCAACTACCTCCCTAATAGTGGTTTTTGGGTTTGTTTTTAATTCCTCTTGTGGATAGTTCTGTTGGCCTAGTGGTTAAGGAGTTGTGCTGCCAATCCAGAAGCAAGCAGTCTGAATCCACCAGCAGCTTTGTGGAAGAAAGATGGGCAATGTCTCCCTTATTATTTACAGCCTTAGAAAACCTGATGGAGGTTCAACTATGAGTTGGTTTCAACATGACAGAAAATAACAACAGTGGATAAAGAGGTGGGCTGGCAACCCAGTGGCAGGCAAGTTTGAATCCATCAGCTGCTCCCTGGGATAAAGGTCAGCTATGGGCCAGTTCTGATTCAACAGCAATGAGTTTGAACTTTTTTTCTACTCAGTATGAAGCAGCATTGGTGGCACAGGGAGTTACATATTGGGCTGCCAACCAAAATGTTTGGCAGTTTGAGCCCACAAGCTGTTTCATGGATGTGTAGATTCCTCTTAAGATTTAGTCTCAGAAATCCAATAGAGGGTTGCCATTAGTCAGAACTATGACTGTGGGTTTTAGCCTTCATAAGGTCCTTGAGTGGCACAAATGGTTTGTGTTCATGTACTAACTCAATGGTTGACAGTTCAGATCCACTCCAGTGCTATGAAAGAATGAACTGATCTGCTTCTGTAAAGAACCCTTGTGCAGTGTTTAACTCATAATGCCTCTAACCTTGGAACATCTTTACTAAAAGATCAAAGACTAGTAGGGTCCAGAGTGAAACCTGAGCATAGAACCCTTGACTCTGTAATACATGAGGTCACCATGAGTAGCCAAGGGCTCCTTCCCTTACCCCCTTTGAATATATGCTTGGTATTAGGTTTTCAAGTTACTGCTGTTGAGTTGGAACCCACACATGGCCCTCTAGCAGGTTTTCAGAGGCTGTAAATGGCATGGGAGATTAATTTTTTTCCCTCTTCCTTGAAGCAGTTGGTGGATTTCAAACTACCCATCTTTGGGTTGGCATGGAACTCCCAATCCATTAGGCCACCAGATCTCCCTAGTAGAAGTTTGGATCCAGCATATTATTATTTAACTACCTCGATACTATCCTGTTTGCTAGGCTGTTTGCACTGATGGCAAGCTCTTCAACCACTTAGAGACCATTTGGCGATTCAGTCCAGGAATCCCAGCCTACCCCCGAACTTGCACTGTGGACTTTTCGGTGAGTTAGTAGGCTATTCAGCAAAAGGCTGGGATGGGGTTTAAGGACAGAGCTGAACTAGTGTGACAGGGTTGTTCTCTGTAACTAACAGAAACATCTCCTAAGCTATGACAGCAAGTTTTGAGAGCCTTGAGCTTCTGTCAGACTTGCTCTGTGTGTTCAGTACTAAATTTGGTATGGTGGAGAGTATTGAAGGAACTGGAGGGGGAGGGTATGAAAAGGCACTGAGGAACAGCACCCTTGTCTTTGGCCAGGGGCTGTCTAACTCTCTCTTTTCTAACTCTCTCTTACCCATTCCTAGATTTCCTTTGAATTTCGTTCTCTGCTACACTCCCAGCTGGCTACCATGTTTTTTGATGAGGTTGTCAAACAGAATGTTGCTGCTTTTGAGCGCCGGGCAGCCACCAAGTTTGGTCCAGAGACAGTCATCCCCCGTGAACTGATGTTTCATGAGGTGCACCAGACTTGAGGCAAAGGATTGTTCCCTAACCCCTTTTCAACTCCCCATCCAGTTATCTTATTTATTTGGTTTGACTCCTGCTGCAGCCTGTGAGAGGAGTCTTTATAATACTGGTCCCAATTATTCAGATACTGGGTTCTAAACTGGTGAAAATGCTGGGTAGAGTTGGGGGTGGAAGGCCCAGGATGTAGAAAGGAGACATGCCTAGAAAAGGTTCAGGCTCACCATGGAGAGCCCGATTTGCCTGCAGTATTCTTGCACTAACTAACTTGCACTAATCAGGCTTTTGCGTGTCTCTGGGCCTGTCATGGTGCCTTATACCAAAAGACAGCAGTTTGTAAGAGTAAATAAATGAGCTTTTCTTTTTGGCAGAGGTATTGAGTTTTCTCTAAATTTTGCCCTGTCCAAAGTTCCACAAAATGAAAAGCAACCTGCCCCTACAGCTTGGAAATTCTATAATCTCAAAACCATTTCAGTGCTATCTGGCTAATGGAGAGCCAGGGGCTTACCATCTGTGTCACAGGCCAGGGAGGAACAAAGTACTCAACAGAATTACTGTTGTAGTCTTGAGTTGTTGTACCTTATTCTTCCACATGGCCTGGATTTTTATAAAATTTCAATAAATTACAACAGCATGAATTTGGCTTTATTGTATTGTTTCTTAAGAGGAAAAAGAGATGGAGTAGAATCAAGTCATGATTTCCTTCCCCAAAGTAATAAACACAAGAAGCCTTCTTGGACATAGTGTCCCTGCTAACTATAGTAGCACAGTCTACAAGCCAGGACCTAGACCTACCCCCTTGCCTATTTATAGTTGTTTCTATCAGAAGGTCAGCTATAGCAGAAGCCTCAGGACAGAAGCATTTAGCCTTAGACATTCCATGTATCTGATGCCCTCAGGACCACCTCTTGATATTTCAGGGATTTCTCTAAAGGCCAAAGTATAAAAAAGACACTCCATGAAGTACTAGAGCCCTCTAGTGGCTCAGGTCTTGAGACAACAGTTCTATCTTGTGGTCCAGTGAGCTGTATGTTTCCTTGGATTAGCTACACAAATAAGCAGTTATAAGGTCTCAACAACAGATCTTCAGTGTTCTGCCTTATGAGTAAATTATGATGGATGGGAGCTAAAGGCTCAAAGGATTTCTAACATCGAGGGAAAACAGAGATCTTCAGAAATCTCCTAGGGAGTCTTCTCTCTGATTAGGATGAATGCCAAATCTGCCTAAAGATAAAAGGATATGTGGGTGGGAGGAAAGGATATACAGGATTATTAAGAACCCAGATTCTTATCAGTTATGATGGTTTACCTCAAAATAAATTCCTCCAGGTTTTATTTAAAGCAGATTCAAGGACTGTTAATAAAAACATTTATTTTGCATTTTATACAGAACAACCTGAAGTCTGCAACAGGACTTGACAGTTACCCAGGGGTTTACAGACAGTGTGTCCATCTCAACAGTGTATTTCTGGGAATTGGGGATCCACACAAACACAGGCAGGAGTTGGGAGGGAGGGAGAGGGCACAGCAGGAGTGTATTTCAGTCCTTTCTCAAGGAAAAGGCTGTAGAGCATTCAGAGTCACTGAAAACCTGTGTAAATGGGGCTCCTAGAATAAGCACTGTACTCTGAACTCTTGGGGAAGAGGCAGGAAAGGGACCTTGATAAATAAAAAAGGGGTGTAGAGGGAGGCTTATTATTTTTTAATTCCTCAGACCCAGGACCTGATAATCAAGAGGACCATGTCCAATTTTGAATAATTTTCCGGCTCAAAAGAAAAAAAGGTGACTCCTGGGGTGCTATCATCCTGGTCATTCCTAGGTCTATATGCCCTACACATATTTAAAAAAAAAGTTGGATGGTAGTGGCTTATGTTCCATGGAAATAAAACGATCACAGTCAGCACTGACTGGTAAAGACCACAGATCAGCCAGTGGTATATACAACCTGCTGAAAGGGGTTCCTAGTAGGGCCAAGAAGGCCCAGAGCGTCTTTAGCCTGAGGCACAGCAGCTAGAGAGTCTGAAAGGTAAGGAACAAAAGACCCTCAAGACCTTAATTTTAAAAAACCATGGCTTCTGCGCTCACCTGGTGGCAAAAAAAAAAAAGCCAAAAATTTGCAAAAATAGGCCCGATTAATCGACAGGTCTTACTGGAGGTGTCTATGTGCATAGGAGAGGGCAATGGTTTTAATATAGTTGACAATCTGCATGATTCCTATGGAAATGAAAGGGGCAGAGTCCGGGTTTGCTGGCATACTGAGGGCTAGACAGAGTAGAACAAAAAGCTCTAACGTAACTGCAGAGTCTCTGTAACCAGCTTGTGGGGCAAAGGGGCCAGATTCCCACTCTAGAGATGGCAGGAAGCCAAGCCCAGATCACATGCATTAGTCCTGGTTATTCTATAGTTGACAGGAAACTCATACAAGGTAGGGAAAGGGATCTGGTTAGGGGAAGAGCGGTCATGTTTCTTCTTTTAAAGTCTTAATTTATAATTTAACCTCAACTTATTATCAGTGCCTCTGATACAAGTTAATCTTAAATCTTTAAAGGTTCTCGCAAATAATTTTTCTCACTTTCTGGTAGTCCCCCCGGTCTTAGTCTCCCATTTTACCCTGATTTAGAGTCCACAAACTTTATCAGACCATCTGTGCTCATGGACTTGGGCCTTTCTAGAGGGAAGCCTAGGGCTCGGCTCCAGATGAGCTGTGCCAATACTCCAAGTGCCCGTGACACCCCAAACAGGACCGTGTAGTAATTCATCTCCGTCATGCCATAGTACTGGA